TCACACTTTAATGACGAGCACTGTAAGCAAGCATGAAATAGTTTCCCCTCATACATGAATCACTGAAGTCAGACTATAGAGAATGAAAAATGAAAGTCATTATATATATGTATGTATACATTTAATGAAACACAAACAGTAAATGAATACAGAATTAAAAAATTAGAACATGTAATGTCTGTATATTTTGACTATCCTATCCAACACTTGATTCTTAAATAACAACTTGCCCATACATTTCATTCATTATGTCCTTATTATTAAATCTTTAAGGAGTCATGTTCATTTTTCTCAACTAACAGAGTTCAGTAAAATTTTACTAGGTTTATCATTACTATTAGACTGTAGTGGATATAAAGCATAACCTTAATCACAATAACTAGCACTGTTCACACTGCCACTAATCCAATACACTATACCATTAACATAGAAAGAATCAAAGTATACTACTAAATATGAATGTTCTAGCTCCCAATCGTTTCATAATTTGGTATTTATGTTTAATACAACTGATCAGTTATTTTGTATAAATAATTTATACATTTTTTTTTTCATACAAATTTAAATTGCTCCAAAAAAAACTCTTATGCTATGAATAGTAAATGTTAGTGCACAAATTACATGCCATAGAAAAAATAATTTTTAAACTTCAAAACTGTGATCCCAGACCTAATTTGAAATAATTTTTACTTCTGCTTGCTGTTATTAAACTAGTTTACGGCTCTTTTTACTATTTCACATTATAAATGGTATAGTACACAATACTGACAAGTTGATATAGTCATGTGCATCACTTAGATATCTTTGTTGTCAAAATATTTTGCCTCACAATCAGCTTTTTCAGTGGAATACAAGCAAATATAACACTGGAGGTAGTAGAAGTGCAGAGGCTACTTTGATCAGTCCCATTGCCTTAACAGAAGGTTATCAGTCCCTAAGCCTTAGGACTGAGCACTTTCTATCAAGACTCTGGAACCGATGTCAAAATTACCTCTTAACTTCTACCATTTCCAGTGTTATAACTTCCTGTATTCAACAAAAGAAGCTTGCTGTGTAGGCAAAACATTTCTGCAATAAAATACCTAAGTGAAGCCCAAGTCTCTTATTCTGTTTGCTGTTAGTCTCTAACTTATGGTTCTGCTTCTGAAGAGGAATACTGCAGGAGACCTACTGACCCATGCTAGGCAGTACTAGTGACAGCATAATGACACATCTCAAGGTGATGGTGATAAAGTAACTCAACACTAATATCTGTTCCCCAGGAGCAGAGTACTGCAGAAGGCCACCTGACTCCATGCTAGGAAAGGGAAGGAAGCAAGAAAGGAGACATAGAAGAGAGAAAAGTCAAAGGAAATAAAGAAGACTGGTCTAGAGGAAAGGAGAGGAAGCAAAGGTCAGGTCAAGTCATTAATGTTCTAAAGAGCAGTTTACAATATCTTGTGAAAGTTAGGCATCAACAGCAACAAAGCTACAACTAGGATTCACATTAAAAACTTTGTGTATATGGGCTGATTTGGCAAGATGGCATCTGTAGTGACTAGGTGAAGGGCAGTTACCTTGACCCTTTGACTGTCGCAACCCCCAATCCTGAGGTGTCTCCTGGTGTCGCAAAATTTAAAAAAAAAAAAAAAAAATCTTATGAAATGATAGAATCTTTTCCCGATTGTAATGACACCAAAAAAAACGAAATTTGATGGAAAACTGACGGAATTATGCTCTCGTGAAGTTAGCGACCTCAGCGCTGTTTACAAATCGGCGAATTTGCCCACTTTGAGCCCTATTTTCGGCTAATTCCATTGTTCCAGTCGCCCAAACTCATGGCTATTTCTTTAGAACTCCATTTTTTCTATCGATTGAGTACAAGAAACTGCCCATTTACCGATTTCAACTACCTAATAATGTGGTCAGAAATTTGCAATTTAACCAATTTCACGAAAACTAAAAAATATGACAATTTCAAAATAAAGTCCAGAATGAACAATGCAGACATTCCTGGCTCTAAAATAACATTTTCTTTGCTCATCAGTCATGTCTCCAGGCCCCTCTGATATTACTCTTGCTTTCTATTTTGAATTTTTATTCAAACAAAAAATAGAAGACTTACTATTATGCAGACTACTGCAATACTGTAATAATTGTATAAATAACATCAACCCATTCATGACTGCATATTAGATTGGCTAGTTGGACATTTATTGGACAATGGCATTATTTGTTTACTTTTGAACATTGACAAAAATCAAACATTTCCCCTACTTTGAGCTCCATTTCTAGGTTCTTTTTATAGTAAAATCAATTAAAATCACCTCTATTTCTATAATATGTTTTCCATTCTATCAAATGAGACCAAGAAAACGAGAATACAACCATAAATACTATACGAAAATAGACCACAAAGTCGGCATTTTAATTAAAAAAAAAACGGTCAGAGTTTTTTTTTCTCATTATGCACTGCATGCTCCAGGATTTTTTTTAAATGGTGCACACTGACCACACAGACCCATTCTCTCACATGTGGGCCTACCAGCTTTCTCCTGCTTGATTTGAAGCCGCTAGAATTTATGAGTATATATACGTCAAACATGGTACCTCGTAAGATGTATATATACGGCCGCGACAGTCAAAGGGTTAAATAAAAGAATCATTGACAGGAGAAGTATTAATTAGAGCTCACAGAATATAATAATCTTATGAAAATGCTTCACTTATCAGGCTACCTAATATTTATACTACTTTTGTTTGAAAATTACTGAGCTTCAAAAATATCATTATGATACTGTATTGTAGCTGTCATCATAGTTAAATATCTCATGAGCATGTTAGTGCAAAACCTGCAAAACAATTTAAAATTTTTTGGTCTCACTTTACCAAAATCTACACAATAGGTACTAATGACAAATGAACTAAAAATTTGATTATTATGGTTCCTATAATTCAACTAGTTACAGGAATCAACTGACTTTGGTAAATCACAAAATATAAAATAATTACAAGGTTTAACCCTTAAACTGTCCAAATGTAGATCTATGTTTGCGTGCGTAGCGTTCCGACCTTGATTTTCTCTATGAGAAAGAACGTTAAAAAAAACGTACATCTTCGTTCAGAGCGCTACGCGAGCAAACGTAGATCTATGTCTGGACAGTTTAAGGGTTAAAAACTAAGTTGGGTAAGCTAGAAAAATTTAATTTAATAAAAAAATGTATACACTTTTCAACTGACATGAATAAACATTAAAGAGCCTGCGCAAAGTCTTTTTTCCCCGAGTTAACAATTTATTACGTTATTATTTTTTTTGTTTTTAACACATGGCGCTCCCAAAAGGTGGGCCACTAAAAAAAGGGAAAAATACATTCACATCTTTTTATTAAATTATTATTATCTCTTTTTAAAAAAAGAAGCACAAAATTGCTGGCCGATAAAACATTAGTCTGCAATGTCAAAGAAGCAAATTTACTTTTTTTTAAACCCTAAAAATTACTTTTTACGGCAAAAAAGGGAAAATCGGTGTAAGTTCCCCCCAAATTTTTGATGATTAAATTTTGAGAAGAAAAGTTTAAAGGTATTGAATAATAACGTTAAAAAAGTATTTTTAAAACCAGGGGAATACTAAAAAAATTTTTGGTGATGGTTTTTCTGCCTCATTTATAAGACACAGTGATGGCAGGTTGGCCGAATAAATTTCCCAAAATAGTACTGACTTTTCCCAAAAATGAGTTAAAACACGCTAAATTTTTGTGAAAAACAGGCTAAAAAACGTGCCGTATACTGGAAACTATTCTAGATTTCCCCCAAAATGTCAGCAAAACGTTCTTTGCGGTTAATAAAAGGGGGCCCCAGGCCTGAAGGAAATGTTTCATTCCACATGCTGCTTGTCCGGGTTCGCCCCCGGAAAAGGGTAGGAAAAATTAGGGGCTTTTCCCTTACAGTGCTGTTGTTTGCTAGCAAGCAAGTGGGGTACCTGGGTGTAATCGTTTGGGTGGGGGCATTCTGGGGGCAAGTAGGCCCCCAAGGGAAAATCAACAGACTTTCCTCAAGATACATTATCCGGGTGACAAACCCCTGTGGGTTTAAATCCAAACAAAATCGAACTTTTAGGGTAATATCAAATGAACTTGTTCAGATATTTTTCTCTGTTGTTTTACAATTATCACTTAGTTTTTCAAATCAGTAAGTTATATTAGGTAAGGTAAAAAAATACAATTACAAAATTTTTTTTTTCAGGGGGAAAGTGAAAAAAAATTCTTCATCACTTGGGGCCCATATTCTCTTTCTACTCCTGTTAATGCATGAAAGGGTTGTATCTATGGCTAGAGCTGTATATTGATCTTTTTAAAAAAATATTTCATTTTTATGTTTTTAAGTTTTTTGATTTTATATTTAATAAGGTACATTTGTACTAAACACAACCAAAACAAACCTGGGTGTGCAAATGGCAGTTTGTATATACTAGGGTTTTTACTAGTATGTATGCCTCGGTGGGATACGGGGTGTTTTGAAAAAAAGAACTATTTTGGTATTTTTATTTAAACCCCTTTTAAAAACCCATTTTTCTTTTGCTTTTTTTTGATAATTTTCCCCTTAATTCGGATTTTTTTGAGCGAGAAAAATAGTTTGGGGAAAAACGGGGCATTTGCCTATAATGCCCTTAGCCCATCAAATTTATTGTCTTTTTTCCCCTTAGCTTACTGTGCTAAGGGCCAGCAATTTTTTACATTTTTTTTTGTTATTTATTCATTATTTTATACAAAATAGTTTACACAATTAATTATTAGGTCATAAACGGAGCTTGATTACTGTCAGTTTAAAAAAAAAAAAAAAAAACTTTTCTACGCTTGGTTGAGGCCTATGAGCAACTTAATATTCAGCCTCGAAGATGCAGGGTAAATTTTCTAGACTTATTTTGGGGGAAAAAAATAGTGTCTTCTATGCCGTAAAATATGGTACTTTCCTTATTGTACACAAAATAAACAAAGAAGAGTATATTTATGAGCGAGCCTTACTGCCTTTATATCTAGCCCCAGCAGCATCTGATGCTTTAACAAACGTGCGCTGTAATTTCTTCTTCTTGCTTTCCTTGTATTCTTGACCTACATCTTGAGCCAATACACTAACTTGCTCCATTGTCTTGTCTGGATACCTGAAAATAAAAGAAGTACTGTATAAAAACTGCAATGACTGTACTGCACTTAGAGTAACTATGATTAAATCACATGACAATCAAGGGATGCAAACTTTAAAGTTTGGCTTTTACAGGGAAATTTTTTTCAGAAATTTAGACAAAAAATCCTTTTGTAATTTTGCATAAATGGTGCTTTAAGTTGTCATGTTTCTGGAGAATTAATTTTTGCATCACACAAGTGCATTATGAACATTAATGAGTTGGAGGTGAAGGAACTCTATATACATTTCTGAAAAAACAAAGAATTGGGAAAATAAAAAAACTGAGAAAAGAAAAAAAGGAATAAAAAAAGAGGATCTTTAAAAATAATGTTGAAAATATTAACCTAGATGGGACTCACAGTAAGGGAAAAAAAAATTTAAAATGAATTTAGATTTACAAAGGTCGGAAAAAGTCCCAAAATTTAAAAACGAGTTGTAAAAGGGGGTTGGGGTTTAAGTTCAGTACCAAGTCTGTCAAAATTTTCTCCATATTATGAAGACCTTAGAATTTGTAATATATTGGGCCCTTTTATAGGAAATTTCCCTTTTTGTCAAATTATTCATGGAAAAAAGTAAAAGGTTGTATTTATGGAGTGTTTGGGGACTGCATTAAAAATTTTTTTTTTAATAAAAAAAACTTGTAAAAAGAAATAACACTTGACAGACTTATAACTCATGTATGCTTACAAATTTCCTCCTTTGAAA